GCCTGTGTTAATGTATATAAAATAGACCAAACCCGGATATAAGAGACTTCTTCTCCGGTCCCGACAACTCTCTTATATCCGGGTTACACTATATATATATATAAAATATACATTTAAGCAGCAACCTTTCCTTCAAACATGTTTCATTAAATATGACAGACAAGGGAGATATATATATATATATATATATATATATATATATATATATATACACACAAAAACACAGGGTACACCAGAAATACCTCCCATATAATGGTAAGACATTAGTGACAATGGTATCTTCATCTAGCTAATGTCCACCATGATGTAAGAGATATTTCTGCTGCACACTTACTGTGAATACAGGGTGCGATGAATAAATTGTCATCTAAATTACAAAAAAAAAAAAAAAAAAACAGATATATTAACCAAAATTACACAAAAATATCTTGAAATACTAAAGATTAAACTTATTCAATAAAATCACTATTGGCTTTGAACACAGCCTCCAGACAACTTTGGAATCTCTTGCATCTCTTCTGGATAGTCTCCTTGTTTAAGTTGGTGAATGCTGCCATAATCCTGGCCTTTAGTTCAAGGATTTTTGGTGGTCTCTCGCTCAACTGCACCTCCCACATAATCAAGGTGGTTGCAGTTTGGGCTGTTAGGTGGCCAGAAGTGCAGAATCCTGTTGTCAGATATAGGGTCTTCCAGCAGTCACCCTCTTAACCCAGGGCAGCACTACCCCCTCTAGACACTTGATGTAGGCCTCTGTATTGAGTTTAAGACCCTCAACAACAAATTTGGGAATTCTTTTCTTGTCAGAATGATCAGAGTGAGTTTTATGAGTTGCTGTACATTCATAATCACCATTAGACTCATCCGACTCTTCCCGAATCCTCTGCACTGTCCTCAGATTGACACCCAAACACTGAAATAAATGTGATAGAAGTACAGCGTGCCAAGTCAAAATTTCTGGCAGAGTGAATCGTGTCAGGATACTCTTTTTCTCACCATTGGTGCCCAAACTGTGCAGTTCACAAAGTCAAAAGCAAACTATGTCCATGCATGAAATTAAAAAATATAAAATGGCGACAATTTACCAATCGCACCATACATATATCTTCAACACTAAACATGCAATAAAAAGCTCAAAATTTAAACTAACGAAGATAGACTCACTATTTGTTATGCTTATTTAAAATTATAATATATGAAGATTTTTTATTACTTTGAAATATATATATATATATATTATATATATATATATATATATATATATATATATACACACACGCACACACATCTATATCTCAGTAGACACTAAACAAATAAGTATTTTTGGCATGAGTGCCAATATGTAAAGCTTTTTTTCCCCTTACCAACACAAAATTTATAAACTTTGTATTCTTATTGTAGACAGTGGTAAATCTGTCTTATCAGCTAGGGTTTATAAGATTGGTTTAATCCCTTTGTAAAATGCACTTTTAAAAATCTACCATGACAGACGATGTATAATGTCACAGAGTTATTAAACATGTTCTTGTGGTTTACACCAAGCAAAAGACATTTTAAAATTTATGACATTACATCCTAATAAAAAATGCATCAATTTAAAAAAGATCGAAGACACTGCTTTTGTGACAACACATGATAAAAAGTATATGTTGATTTGTTGTAGGTGGCCCAAGTATAGACAAGTTTATGATCAATGTGTTTGTTATTACAGACGACTGGCTTTGGTTCTGTTGATTGCTGTCCAACATCGATATGAAATTCATGGCCAGGTAAAAAAAAAAAAAAAAAGAAAAAAAAAAAAAATCAATGCTGGATAATATTCTGATTCATAAATCTGTCCGCCCAAAATGTGCAGACCAAGATGAGGTCTTATTGAAGTCTTCTTAATAATGAAGAGGTTAGTAGGTATAAGGCCATAACAACTGTATCTTCTTGACATCACTGTACATAACCCAACATGGATGGTGAACATTTCTCTCTGTCTGCCAATTTACTAAGATAAAAAGAAATGTTACTTTATTGCAATATCTTTTACAATGTATTATATATATATATATATATATATATATATATATATATATATATATATATATATATATATATATGATAAAAGCATGATTTTAAAGTATGCTATATTTACTGGTAAAAATGCTGAATATCAGAGATAGAGCATATGTAGATATAATAATATGAAAATGGATACTGAAGTGAGTGGTGACAGTATGCTCCATAGTTAAACACAATCTTCAGGTAGTGTGTTGTGTTTTCATTCAACTATTTATATATAAAAGTCAATGGTACATTATTGGTAGCAAAGTCTATTGTAATATAATGGTTATTGGGTAGGTGGTAATGGTTATGTTTCAAATTATTCTAGACGTTATTGCATAGAAATAATTTTGAATCTAAATGTGGTTATTTGTAGCTATTTTATAGTGTTATTTGTTAATTTTTTATTAATTATTATTGATTACATAATTATTTGTTGTTGATTATTATTATTACATTTATTTGTGCTTATGACTGCATCTATAGTTAATTTGTTTATTATTTTCATTTTTTGTTTATTTGTTTAGTATAAAGTGTTGGCTTTGTCTAAAGTTTCTTATATTATTTGCATTGTATATAGTGTATATATTCGCATTTTTCACTGTGGTATCTTGCAAGTTATTTGTTTTTAATTTGCAATTTTTAAATAATGTAGTAAAAATATATTTATTAATATATCTGCATTTTGAGATAAGTTCTGATCATTTATTTCATAATTTATTTTTGGGGTTTGGGGAGATTATATTTATATATATATATATATATATATATATATATGTGTGTGTAGCATATTTTCATTCAAACATGTTTCATTGAATAAAATAGACATGTCTATTTATTTCTATAATAATCCTTTCTAGTTCTCTAACCAGTTTCTTGATGTTAAAATAAAAATCATCAATGAAGATGCCATAGTTTTTTCTTATCCAAGTATTTTCGATTTCCTCCAAGATCATTATCAGGGCTGAACTACGAAGACAAACCTATTGTAACTGTAATAATATGTCTATATTATTTAATGAAAAATGTTAGAATATATATATATATATATATATATATATATATATATATATATATATATCAATTTACAAATACATGAATTATTCACACAAAACTAATGCAAAGGTTAATGCTTTAAATGGCGAGACATCCATCATCGCAAACAATTCAAATAGTATACAAAAACCTCCAGATCCGTTATGAATGAATTGATCCTTGTTTATATAAATTTCTGCCGTATTAGTTGTTATTTTTACTACAAGCTTTCGTCTGTTCCTACAGACATCTTCAGGTATAGAATAGATGTTGTTTTGGTTTTTCTCTTAGTAATAAGAGGACAACGAAAATATGTGTTGTTGTATCCGAAAATGCTATTGAAAATGAGTTATTGGTTTTGGAACACGCCAAAGCAACGCTGAGTTTGATTTTAAATTTTAAAGTGTTTGCGTTTATACCAAATATGGTGTTGAACAAATTTTTTTTTTTTTGTAATTCATATATATATATATATATATATATATATATGAGGAAGTCCCTCGAACACACCAGCAAAAATGTAATGAATGAAACAAAGTTGTCATCTGAATAAGTTAAAGAAGAATGCTGTCTTATCTATGAATTTGAGATATTTAAAAAAATTAAGACAAAAAAACATTTTACATTATGAAGTTAGAGGATTTAATTGAAATGTTTGTGTTCCTTTTTTTATTGTATAGCTGAATGTCTGTAAAGAAAAATTATTCATAAGTTTTCAGTAGATTCTTATTTTTGTTTGGTCATTTTTTTAGATAGACAAATGTTTCACTCAAAAACTTAAAATTAATTTTTTTTTTTAGTCATTGTCTACAATTGTGTGAAGAGTTATCATTCTCAGAATTGTTCTAATAATTTAACTCAAAATTGGCACCACTTATATTGTTACCATATTTCAGATGATCTATTTTCCAGCCTCCACCTGCTTCAACCCTAAGAAAAGCAAATAGCTCCATGTGATTTTCAACCCTTTTTACAAAGATAGTGGCTCTTATATTACACTTATGAAAATCAGAGCAAATGATCACATTTCAGATTTGATTCTTGGAAAAGATTCTTGGTCAACCTGAGAATTTTTCAATACACTCACATACCATGTGTAATTATTCCAAGAGCTGCTTAGAGTACTGAACTCATTTACACTGTATTTGTCTGCTACAATGTTCAATCTATCTATTCTACTGCCTTCTCAATGTAAAAAAAAAAAAAAACTTAAATTAATTGATTTATTTTCTTTTTTAAGCTTATCAACCATTTGTGAGTCATTCAAAGAGAAAAAAATATTTTGGATTGTAAGAATTATTATTCATTTTTTTGCAAGTGAAAATTGAATTTCTTTTTGAGATAATGATTTTTCCAGATCAGACCCTAATTTTTAACCCCCATAACAAGAGATGGATTGATAACTTTCCCAAAGGGTATTTGCATATAAGTGAATGTAACTGCGATTTGAACTAGGATATCCAATTTCTCAATTGGAGCCACTTCCATTAAACTCCTCATACATTTAGCAAAATAAGAAAACTATGTAGCAAACAGTATCAACGGTATATTAGCTACCATTATTTGTTTGTCATCTTGTTTAAAAAAATAAAATAAAATAAAAATAAAATTTCCTCATTATTGAAAAGGTTCTTTGATTCATTTTCTACAGCTTATCAACCCTTTGCAGTTTATTTAAAACCAGAAAATATTTTTAGACTGTCAGAATTTTTTTTTGTTTGGTGGTTTTGATGATAATGATTTTCATGATACAAGTCTTACTAATTAATCTATAGCTTGGGGAGAAGTGGTGGGTTCACACCTTTACCAAGTGTATTTGTGCATAAGTGAATATAACAAACCCAAATTGGAATTCGGCTCTCCAATTAGCAATTCCAAGCCTTTATCCATTACACCACCCACATATCCAATTTTAGAGGACCAGGTTTTCCCAAGTGGTCAACCATCTAGCTACTGACCAGGCTTGATGCTGCTTGACTTTGGTGATTGTATGGGAACCACTGTTTCAATATGATATGGCCATAAGTCTGAAAAAGGTTGTAAAAACAGATCAGCTGAAAGCAACATAAGCAAAGAACATGTTCCTAGACTTTTATTCCCTGAAGTTTTGTTTCAATGCAAGATTCAGTCACTGACAAATCAGAACTGAATGCAGATTTGAAAGGTTTCATACATAAGCAGAAAAATCTTAGAATAATCAAAATAAGAATCTAATTTCATGAACTCAATCTTTAGTGGTATCTTCAAAGGCTTAAACCAATTAGCAACCATAGAAGTTGAGCCTTGTACTGACCTGAGCCACTCTTTTGCTCAGAGTATTTTGTTTCTTTTCAATTTCATGCTTCAATTGAATGCATGCACTTTGTAAGCCCATTGACCATAACAAAAATAGATTTCAGTGGGTCCAGTTAATTAGTTTAATGAATGAACAGCACAAAATCATTTTGTCTTCATTCTCAATCTTGACATTACAAAAATTGCAATTTTCTAGTACTTTACACTTTCTTGTACAAAGAGAATGAGGCACAGATTTAATAAGCCTCAATTCCATAATCTCAGAAACAGTCTTGTCCATTTCAAGTGGAATTCTCATTATTATTTTGTATCTCAGAGTTTTAGAACTCTGTAAGGAAGATTTTGGTAATTCTCCCAATCAAGATATATTTCATTATATTTACAGGCTGCAATCTGTCTGCAATTTGTGCAATGAATATACTCAGGAATTTCTGTGGAATAGAAAAGGATATCTATTTACTGAACTTTTGGAATTTCCTTGGTACATCTTTGTATTGTATTTCAAGAGTATATAGAAAGCACTTTCCTCAATGAAAAATGTTCAAAGAAAGTAAATAAAATCAAAAATAATTATGTATGTTTAAATAAAGTCTTCACATCTACTAATATTTAGTCTTTAATACTACTAAAGACTTAAAAAGAAAAAAAAAATAGAATCATTGTTATACATTTTAACAGTTATTTATCCATTTAGCAGATTTTTATATACATGATGAAAACAAAATACTTCAGTTTTATATGACTTAACAAAAAGAGAACTTTCTTTGTAAAAAAGAAATTGTGAATTTTTACATTTAATAATGTTTGGGACTAGGAAGAAGTACCAAGTTATTGAGAATTGGATTCTGTAGCACATATTTCAATTTGAATTGAAAAATTAGTACAGAGTTTGGACATCAGAATAGAATAATCAATTAATCTATATGTAAAAAATATGTGACAATAATTCGATTTGTTCGTTTAATGGCATATCAATTCCTTATGGGTCATTTAATGCTGAAATTTAATTTTCTTGGGAACTTTCAAATAATAAAAATGATATATTACTCTGCTTTCACAAGTGAATAAATGGTAGATTATGTGCAGTTTTTGTGCATATACATTTTTTTTTAATTTATTTAAATGTTATTTTTAAATGGATATTCATATTTCAGAAGATGCTCTGATTTCATTTTATTTATTAATTAAACAGTATATTTACTTATTTACATCTACTGGCCTGAATATTCAAGAAATCTTTTTAGAAAAATATGCATCTTCCGGCAGATGTCAAACCTGCATCTCTTTGGGGAGACCATCATTTGATCTGATATGCCTTAAACCAACTTGGCCATATAGGACTTCCTGATCAAACAAAGCCTAAATAGTGCTTTTGAACATACATTTTCCAGATTCTCAAAATATACACATCTACTCTGTTTAGATCCTAATATAAACAAAGAAAATTTTTCAGAAAATTGATTAAATCCTACAGATTTTTTAATTTATTTGTTTAAACATTATTTTTTAATGGATACTCATATTTGAGTAGATGTTCCATTTTTATTTATTTATTAAACAGTATATTTATTTATTTACATCTACTGGTCTTTATATTTGCGCATTTTTCAAATATTGGACATGATTACCAGAGGCAGTGATATGTATGTTTTATGTTGAAGTTATATTTTGGAATACAGTTTGCTTTAAGAAATTGTAGAATATTATATGGATTAATGTCATGAAAGAGTTCTTTCATGTTGATTGATGTAATGTTGGTAATTTTACTATAAATAGGTATTATTGGTATTTTTACTACAAAAATGTATTTTTATACTTTCATAGGGCTAAGATTCATGTTTGGGGGTTCACTATTTGTCCATAGCAGAGACCCTACCAGAAACTATCACCCCAAGTCAGGGTGGACCTGGGAACAACAGCAATTAAAAGGTGGTTACACATTCCTCAAAACCTCTACTCTCCTGATCAGAGGCCTTGTTGTCGGATATAATTTATCATCATATCCAGGACTACTTGTAATAATACAGTCAATACATTATGTAACACTATTTTACGTGTACATTTTAATTATGGTCTGTAAAGTATCCATTTTTGTCTGAGTAACTCAACATACACAAACTTCCTGTCCATGACAAAAAAAAAACCCACTAACAATAATATTTTCCAGTTACAAGAAGCTGTCATAGTTATGATATTGTTTTACAAACCATATGTCCGCTATAAACAATTTTATAGAAATGACTGCATTAACAAAACCAGTATAGAATTCAGTACTATTTGAGACCTTATACACCTGGAAAATTCCCTATACACCTGAACAATCAAGAGTGTGAGACTCACCTTCGCAAGTAGGTTTCCAACTAGCATCCAGTTGGCTGACAAAAATAAACAGGGTTATAACTCAATATATTTTCCTCTCTTGAATAGTATGCTGGATATTTATTGAGCACAATATCTACACTGGAATCATCAGCCAGTCAGAATTTACAGAATTGGCTGGCCAGGGTAACTGAATGGAATTTCCCACACTTTTATGTAAACCCCCTACCAATTTGCCCAACAGATAAACTTGGTCAGTCAGAGTTAACTTCTATTACAGTCAAGTATTGTCTGTTGCTATTACCAAATTCTACAGTTAAAGATTTTTGATGGATTCATTTTCTACAGCTTATCAACCGTTTGCAGGTTATTGAAAGCAAGAAAATATTCTTAGATTGTAAGAATACTTTTTGAGATAATAATGATTTAAAAGATACAAGTTTTACTAATAACTAGGAAAGAAGAGGTGGATTTATACCTTTCCCAATCTTTGTACCTAAGTGAATATAACGAACCTGACTGGAATTGGAACTCAGCCCACTAATTAACAATTCTGAGCCATTATCTATCATACCACCAGCACATCCAAGATTATAGCATGTGGTATTCTCAAGTGATCACCCATCTCAATATTGACCAGGCTCAATGTTGCTTAACTTTGGTGATCATACGAGAACAAAGTGTACAGCTTGGTTATTTTTTTAAGCTTGTTTTCACTTCCTGACCTATGTTGAAAAATATTTATAAGGACATTCCATTCCACCTTCAAGTATAAGTATCCTTTTTGTTTCCATTTTCTCTAAAACCTTCTTGTTGGTTACATGTTCAATCCAATTGCATCCTCAGCATCCTTCTGTAGAACCACATTTCTGTTACTTCAATTTCTTCTTCATCTGTGAAGAAATTGTTCAGCATTCACTGTGATATAGGAAGACTAATATTACATAACAGTTCAGTACTCCTATTTTTTTTCTAACAAAATTTTTCTGCTTCTTAATACTTTGCTTAGCTTTTGGAAGGGATTTTTCAATGCACCTTCAGATTTCAGTGTCACTGTCCTCTGTTAAAATACTGCACTTCCTAGCACTTCACTTGAATATATTTGCATATATGTGAATATATACATTTAAAATATCCAATTTTAAAGCCATGATAACATTTTGTACACTCCACAGAGTATTTACTTATACTCTTTAAAATGGAAACAACCACACAGACATTACATAACTGAGAAATGGTATTGTTAATGTTTTGTCCATGTTGTAGGGAAAAATCATATATGGCAATCTACTTAAAAGATGTAACCAAATTTTTCAAATTGACTATAACTATATTCGGGAGTTTTTGATGCCTTCTGAAACTGTCTATGAGAGGAATAAAACCCTACCAAATTAATTATACTCCTGAGGAAAGTTGAAGAACATATTTGGCAAAACAGTGATAAAAGAAAAAATTAAAAAAAGAATAAAAAAAAAAATGGCTATATTCTTGCAGGACCACCAAACACAATTCTTTTTTATTGATATTTTCACAAATTTCTCATTGATTTCTCATTCCCTCTGGCTTACTTTTTGCAGTATGTTGACATTAGCTAGATCAGTTTTAACCCTTGTATATGTGACAAAATTTGGCAGTCATTGGCCCTGAGTTAAATCGCTATAGGAAGGTTCAGATTCAAACAATCTTAATAGTCAACTAGATCTTTTTCAACAGATAGCACAAAGAAAACAAATTCTTTTCTCAGGTAAGACTTTTCTTCTTCACCTCTACACTCCCTTTGATCACACAGGTGACAAGAGTGGGCCTCTTTAGTCTTGTGCTTCTTCTTAGTGGGACAATCAGTCTCTTCTCCCAATAAATCATCCCTCAAGGAGTTGTCAGGCCCTGAGGTGTCTGCAACGTTTAGTGACTAATCTTTCACTGTCTGAGGATGCTCTCTTCTCTCAAATGCAGCAGAGGACTCATCCAATTTTAGTAACCTCACAGAGTTCACAGACAATTACCACAGGTTGACCAGTTTTTCACTATAAAATTCAGGAATCAACCTTATGCTGAATATTTTATCTGCCATCTTGTGAAATCTCTACCAAAATAGCTTGATTTAATTAGTAATAAAGAGGTTTAGATAAAAAAAAAAAAATGCAGGTTCAAGGTCCTACTAAAGTCAACCTGATTTTGACTCAGAATTTTTTTTTGTTTTTTTGACATATCACAAGGTACAAATTCTTGGTTTTTTCCTTCACCACCACCAGACCCTTTATCCAATTGTTTTCAAAATTTAGATCAATTCCCCCACCCCTTCCTGATTTTGGCAACAAGTATAACTGATGAGATCTGGTTAAAGTAGCAGATTCTGCCATTTTTTTTGTATAAGAATTAAACACTTTTAACATATAAATTATTAATAAAC